TTTTTTACATTGCTCAGAGCAGGAGACAGGAGAGAGGTGAAAATAAACCTTTGCTTTTTAAAGAACTTAACCTCAAAGACAAACTTTGAATTTTGAGGAGTTGAGCTAGCGAGCACTACTTTCTGCAGTCATCTGAAGTCCCGCGATTCCTCGCAAAGGCCCCGGAATGCGGAGGCAGCCGATGGATTGCCGCCCTGCCTCTCCCGCCCCGTGGGACAGGCCAAGGCGCCCCTGGCCGCCCAGCCTTCCAAACGGCCCTGTCCTCAAGCAGCCACCTGATGGAGGGACGCGCACAGCTTGTGCACAGGTTCCCGGTGCGGGCCCTAGAACCTTCTAGGTCATGCTGTTCGTTAGACTGCGTCTGAATCTGTCCAGTGGCTTCCAGAGTCGATCAGGCCCCTCGCAGATAGATGGTTGATAATCTTCACGGGCGAGAGGCTCAGGCCTCCAAGATGTCCTCGCGCGGGCTGTGGCCTTGGGAGGGGGCGTCAGGACGTCCAGGTGACTGGCGTTGAGGGTTTCCTGCTCTCCTACACCTGTGCTGACGTGACGGGGGCTGCGGGGGGCGGTTTGCAGACGTGGCGCAGTGGGGGAGGGGAGGGGAGGGAGGGAGGCAGGAGGCAGGGAGCCCAGGAGGGGGGAGGAGGGGCGCCTCCCCCTTAGGAGACCTCGCCAAGGTCCGGGAGGGGAGGAGGCCGCGGCCCTCTGTGTGGGTGGAGGCAGCAGCCAGAAGCTTCAAACTGCTTTCGCTAATTACTGGAAAGATGCTCAAGTTTACCAATTAAAGGAGCCACAGGCGTTTCAAAAATCTGTCTAAACTTTGGTTGTTTTTAAAATCAGTTCACCACAAAAAGAAATATAAATCGAGGCTGTAGCCAGCTGCTGAGCATGTCCTTGGCAGTCTTTTGTGCAAAATAAGGCGTGTTTGAGCTCCACGTGAACTACAACAAAAAGAAAAATTTACTGGAACATGCACCCAGAAGCACCCAGAAGAAGGAAGGGGTCGACCGCTGCCCCAGGTTACGACGTGGGCTGCGCCTCCTACCCTGCTTTTCAGCTTTTACTTCCTATTAGCAGTCCACGTTCGCAGGACGTGGTGGTCACGTTCCCGGCGTGGAGCAGGCCACGTAACAGCAGGCTCTCACTCCTTCTCCATCATCTCCTGATCCCCTTCTCATTTGAAAGATATCTTCCTACTTTCTATTATCTGCCTTTTATTTTGCTCTTTATTTACAGTTTGGATTTCTCATGGATGAGAAATCATGGGATATTTAAACTTGTTGTGTCTGATTTCTTTCATTGAATACCGTGGTCTCAAGGAACTATCCATGCTGGCCTACAATGTCTCCAGTTTATCCTTCCTTATGACAGAGCAGTACTCCATTGTGTGTGAATGTTTTCTTTACGCATTCATCTGCTGATGGGCAGAGGCTGCTTCCAGGATTTAGCTACTATAAATTATACTGCTATAAATAGAAATTCCAGCTAACGCGGTTGTTCTTCTAAGTATCTCCCCCAAATTTAAATATATCATATAGCTAAGCATTCATTGTTAAAGTCACCCTGAAATTAAAATAATTTTCTCCAACTTACAAGGAGAATCTACTTCTAACTAAAACTGAAAATTTCTTCTGCTTATTGTCTACAGGAATGAATGGAAATATTCTTTTTTTAAATCTTCCAATCACTCCCTCACTTATTGCAGTACAAAGGGCTATGACTGAACTCTTCAAAAGGGTGGCTTAGAATTCCATTTGCAGGTCAGGTGTAAATGCTCTCTTAAAACTGAAGCACCACAAGCTAAATTATTCTTTTTTCAGAAGAATAACTGGGAACCGTCAGACTGCCTTCCATGGACAGAGCTTCCCCCTGAAGACTCCACTTAGGACACAGCCATGGCGTGCGGCCTCCCCTGAGCCTGTCGGGTGGGCTGGAAGCGGCCTCTGCCTCTCTCTCTGGGTCCGGAGGCAGAGGAGGGGCCATGGCCATTCCCAACCTGCCGACCGCGGCCCCAGCCCATCCCCCAGCTCTCCTCCCGCCCCTCCCGTCCCCTGTCCATCCATATTGCCCGCCCACTTACGCGGTCAGCTGGTCTACTGGCTCTGCATGCTCAGGCAGTGCACGTCTTCCTTGCCCTTGGTGTTGTAGCCTGGGAGGGGCTGCCCGTACTTGTCCACGCACCAGCAGAAGCCCCGCTTTCTGCCTTTGGAGGGGCGGCACTGGGGGACAGAGAGGGCCAAGTTGTGACCACCCTGTATGCCACAGCTTTGTCCAGGGCTCCTGTCCGGCCGCTGTGCCCAGGAGGCAGTGTGGGGGTCTGTGTGCACACATGCGCCTGTGCAGACGGGTGTGCAGCATGACTCTCCAGGAGGGGTGAGGATGGTCCCTCGGGCTAACCCGGAGACATCAGGACACCGGGCTGTGTCTTGGAGACCGTGCCCCACCTCTCAACCTGTTGACCCGGTGACTGATAAAAAACTTCAGTGACACAGCGGCTGAGGAGGGAGGGGTCTGGGCGTTCTGACCACGGCCACCAGGACACTACTGGAATAGTGGGAGCCTGCCTGTTAGGAAGCCAGCCAGAATACGGCTCCTGAATCCAGTGTCCAGGGCCACACCCGCCACATGCCATCTTACATTCACAGCCTGTCACTAAGGGCAGGGGCAAGGATGGGCTCCTGTCCTCACACTGGCAGTCATTCAAGATGCTGCTCCACAACCTAGGCTGGGAAGTGTGTCCCTTTTCTGTTAGTGGCTGGCTCTCCTTTGCTCTGCTGTGGGCAGTTGAAAGGCCCTGCAGAAAGCAGTGTGGCCGGGACTCGGTCCCATCCCTGAGACCAATACTGAGTCACACATAGCACAGGCGCCCCAGGGACTTGGCTGCAGCCTGGGGTAGGTGAGAGGACCGACAATTAGGGAGGATGTCCCTCGCCACTCACCTGTTTCTTCTTATAGAACCCCTTCTTGTCACAGTTTGGGATGTGGACACCCCTGGGGCTCAGTACATTGAGGAACTTCAGGTGGTTGAGCGTGTCCTCCATCTCCCTCCGGCAGGGGCCCTGTGGGGCAAGTGGGGACATCAGGCCATGGTAGCTGGGCTGAAAGCCTGTTTCATGCCCACAGGTCCTGTTGAGTGGGCCTGAACACATGCCAGGGGCCCCTCCTCCCCACATGGAATTGGCAGGGAGGACGCCAAGCCTAGTCAGCTTGAGTCAGACAGAGCTGGGTGAGCTCAGGGAAAGAGTGGAGCATCTCTGTGGGCAGCTCGTCTGCCATCCACAGTTGCCTTTGGTGGCACACTGAACTTTGGAGCACACCAGGATTTTGGGGTACATCACACTTTGGGGGCATACTATATTTTGCAAGCACTGGCTTAGCTTGAAGCTTGTCAGAGTCTCCGAGACAGGACTGGGTCCCTGCCCTTTAGAGAAGGAGGGTTGGGAGGGAAGTGGGGAACCAGGAACCCTAAGACTTGGCACGTACAGCTTGGGTTGTGGTTCATGGTGGGTCTCCCTGCTGCCCCCCCCCCCCAAAAGAAAGCAAAGCTCTCACGTATTCTGTCTCCCGCTTGGACTCAGAGGAGAAGTTCTGGGTGTCTGTGCTCTGGGATTCATAGTCGACTTTGTAGCGCTGGCTTTCCTTGGCGTGGCCTTTCTTGATGACCTCCATCTTGTGGAGGGTGTGGAACTTGGAGTCTGTCACCCGGTGGGTGCTGGGGACCGGCTGGGTCTCCACGCTTCCAGTGCTCTGGTCCTCCTCCGACTCGCTGGCATTCCCTGGAAAAGCAAGAGGGAGAGGAAGACGTGATCGCTGCCCATCGGAGCAGCAGCCTTCTCAGTCTTGCCGTTGGACCACTGAAATATTATTCAGCAATGTCCAAAAATTAAACAAAAGCCTTGATAAAGTTGTACCATGCGCTGCACCACGGCTGCTTTCCTGCTGTTTTCCTGGAGGAAGCCATTTGTTTAAAAGTCAATATGCAGCAGGGCACGGAGGTGCACAACTGTGAGTCCTGCACTCCAGGAGGCTGAGGTAGGAGGACTACAAGTTAGAGCCCAGCTGGGACAACTTTGAGACTTGGGGAGACCCTGTTTTGAAATTTAAAAAAAATTTAAAAAGGGCTGAGATGTAGCTCAGTGTGAGAGCCCTGTGTTCAATCCTTAATAGGAAACACACACACACACACACACACACACACACACACACACACACACACACACACACACACCCCCAACAAAACAGCCCAAAGACACTCTGCTCTGTGCTTTTACTAAGTAGCTGCAGCGAACCGGTTTATCCGGTGCTGTCAGTGGAGCCGAAAGCTGCGTGGCTCCACCTGCTACCAGCAGGGGGCAGACGTGCGCCAGCGAAGGCTGCTGCTATCTTGCAGGTCCCCCCTCCGCCGGGGGTAGAGGCTGCTTTCGGTAAGAGGAAAAAAATGTTCCTTTTCTGGCACTGCATTTGTGGGCAGCAGTCTGGGCGTGAAGGAGGCCTCCTGACTTCTGCTCTTGGGCCAGTGCTGGAGAGCTCGAGTCCAGCTCGAGTGGAAAAACGGTCTTGCCGCTAAATTCAGGGTCCACACAGACCCTGAGCTTCGCGGATGCGCCCCCCTCCCTCAGGGCACAGAAGGCAGGCGGTGCGACAACTCCGGCCCAGCTCAGACCTCCAAGGGGGCGCCACAGAAGACGCCTGGTTACAGACGTGGGGTTAGCAGGGTCCCAATTGGCTGGTGAGGACATTTCTGGTTGGGTGTAAACGAGGATTCTCACTCCTCCTTTAGGGCGAACTCGGAGTGGCCTCGGGGCCAGATACATGGGGGCCCGATGCTCGTTCGGACCCGCGAAAGCTTCGGCTGCGGACCTAAGTCGGCCGCCCTGGATCCCGGCCTGTCCACAGGCCGGGCGGGGCAGCAGGTTCTGGGCCTGGCCCGTCGGGCGCCATGTGAACGCCAGGTTTCTTGTTTCCCTGGGACAGGGCCGGCTCCCGGAAGCCCCCGGAGGGTCAGCGCAGGCTCTCCACGAGTGCCCGGGCGCCGCCGGAAGCACCTGCAGGCTCCCCCGGGCGGTGCGGGGGGGCCCTCTCCTCCTGGAGGACTAGGCAGCTCCCCCGGAGCCGCGCGGCTTTGTGCTTTGGGGATCCAGAGTCCCAGGGTCTATACCTGACGGTACATCAGGTAACTGAGCAACTGGATTTCCGTTTTCTTTACTCTGACTTAGGAAGTGGACAGGGGACCCCAAGCATATGTAAATGAACACATTTGCATTACATTTCCGAAGCCCAAGAATCCCTTAAACTCTTTTTAATGCTTAGATTGCTGGCTACAACCTGACGACAAATGGTTGTTTAAACAACGGAGAATTATGACTGATTTGTCTTCTTATTGTGCTGGGAGTTGAATCCAGGATTTCTGCAGTGCGCTTACATTCCCAGCCTTTTGAAAAACCATTTTCCCCCCTCTAAAATCTGACACAAAGTCTCTCACTAAGTAAGCAAATTGCCCAGGATAGGTGAGAACCTGTGATCCTCCTGCCTCAGTCTACCCAAGGCAGGTGTGCACGACCACGCCCAAGCGGAGAACTACGACTTTTGCCTGGCACGGAGCTTCAGTTTCCCCAAATGGATTTTGAATGTCATGTAGACGTTTTTATAACCTTGTAAGCACCCACACCGACCGGTAGACACATACTCTAAAGCCTCCAGGGTGGAAATCCGAAGTGAGAAAGCCCGACCAGAAAAGAATATTTAGCAGCACTTCTAAGGTGGCCTTTGAATACCCCCTCCCCCAAACGCATTCCAACAATAAAGTACACACTCTGAGCAAATGATATAATTTGCTCAGAGAAAAGAAAAATCTCCCCGCGACTTTCACAGCTGGTCAAAGCCTGGGAAGCAACTGGAATCCCGCCTGTCCACTCCCTGGTGTTTTTCGGAGTGAACAACGCCAACCACTCGCGGGAAAGCCCAGCTTTGCAGCGGAGTGGAGCTGGGCGGCCACAGCGGGGGGAGGGCCCCCGGGTCTGCAGTCCTAGAGGGCCGCTTGCGGGTAGGAGGGGGCCGAGGACCCACTGGATACTCCGGGCCTTCCGAACCCAGACTGGCTAAGTGAGCCCGCTCGAAATTCGGAGCACCAGCTGCGGATCCTTTTAGCCTCAGAGGGAACCGCGCCAGGTCCCTACCAGAGGCGCCGCCTCCCGCCCGGGGCTGAGCCCCGAGGGCCAAGCGCCGAGCACTTCTGCATTTTTTCCTCTTTTGGGGTCGCCCTCAACCACACCTCACTTCTCCCATCTCGGATTAAGGAGTAAACAGTCCTGGGGATGACTAATCCTGCCCCAGTCGCTGAAATCTGTTCTGGCTCCACTGGCCGCGCTCCTCGGGCCCTTGCAGGTGCGCGGTGGCAGGCGGGGAACAAGTGGGGTGGCTCTGAAAGTGGCAGATGAGGTTCAGACCTACAGGCTCGCTGCCTCGGGCGGACCTCGAGAAGTTGCTTCAAACCGTAGAGACGCAGCTGCTTGGATCCAACCCTGCTCCTTTCTGGACGCGAGGACTTACGTTACTTTGCACAGCAAAGCCCGAGCCAACGCTAGCAGTTTCCGAGAGTGCCATGGCCTGCGTCGCGCCTACCACCTGCTCGCTCCAGACCCCACTGGCCGCCAGGCTCGGACCCTACTCTCCCAGCCACGAACAGCTCCTAACTGCACCGAAATCGCTCTGCAATCCCGCACTCTGCGCTCGGAGGAGGCGAGTCACAGAGCTGGCTGCAGCTGGAGCATCGGGCGCGCGCCTTCGCTTGGGGGCCTCCGTTTCCCCGCTCCCACCTCCCGAGAGGTGGCTCACCTGGAGCGGAGGGCACTGGCAGCAGGAAGGGGTGCAGGCGGCCAGCAACGCTGGCGTTGGCGCAGTACCCACGGCCGTGCAAGAGCGCGTGCAGAGGGCGCGGCTCCTCTGGCTTCGGCTGACAGCGCAGGCCAGAGCCGCAGCGCTCAGTGTAGACGCCGCACGCCTGGCCCTCGCGCAGCGCGCACGTCAGGCAGCAGCCACAGCCGGGCTCGCGCACCAGCTCGGCGCACGCGGGAGCGGTGGGCGGAGGCGCGCACTGCGCCAGCGCACGCGCATCGCACGGCTCACAGCGCACAACCGGGCCCGCGCCCACCGCGCTCATGCCGGCCCGCGCCCCGGGCGGCCCGCGGAGCAGCGCTAGGGCGATGAGTGCGGCGGCCCAGAGCGCAGGGCGCGCCCGATGCATGGTGTTCGCCACTGGGGCAGCTGCTAGCGCAGTCGGAGCTCGAGGGGACGGAGCTGTGACAGCGCACGGTGGAGGCTGCGGGATGCGGGCAGGCGCACAATGGCAGATCCTCAGCGACCAGTCGCCGCGCTAGCGTCTGGCCAGCCTGGGCGCGCCGGCCCCTATATAGAAGCTAGGGTGGCGGAGGACACGCCCCGGAACGGCGCGCCCAGGACGGGGAGGGGGGTTGGGCCGGCGCAGGCAAGGCTCGGGGCCCTCGCTCGTCCCGTGCGCGAGGGCCGAGTGCGGGGACGCGCAACGTGTGGATTCCGGGGGCACCTGCTGCATGCGCGCCAGCGCCGGGCGCCCCTGGGAGTCGCGACGCTTACGGTTACCCTGGCGCCTTTTGCACCCCAAGACTCCTTAGTGCCTCCGACCATCCCAGTCCCTGCTAGCCAACTTGGCGCCGCTGACCTCGCCGACGCCAGAGCCCCCCCCCAATCTTGATGACGCCTGGGTGGAGGTGGCCCCGTGGCGAGGGGATGGATGTGGGAAACTGGCCGGGGCCGCTCCTCATTCGGGTGTAGTTTGCAAAGCTTTCTAACATTGAGTTCCCTGTGGGGGGCACGCGGGGGGGGCATTTCTGAGCATACCCGATCTACCTGGGGGGTCTCGGTTTTATTTGCGCTTCTCCGGCCACCGGCTCCTCCCCAGACTCGCACACAGGTGTCTGCAGAAGCCTGCGAGGCGCCCGGTTGCGCGCGCGCTTCGCACAGGTCGCGTGGCTCCCGCTGGCGTCTTCCTCGCGAGCCCCGAGTTAGCAGAGGGGGCCCGCGGCCGGTGGTTCCCGGGGCAGAGCTTCCCCAAGATTCTAATTCCCAGTCGCTCTCCTGGTTTTAGCGTTCTCCCCAATTATTTTTTGAAGAAAGTTTACACCCTCGACAACATAATTACGAAGACATTAGAGCGGGCACTGCAGAAGTGGAATGGAATTAGTAACCAAGTCGTCCTTAATCCCGGACCTTATCACATCCACTTTTGGGGGCGCTCTTTGTGTGTCTGCGCTAGACTTTCTCCCTGTGCTCAAGTGCGCGCTGCGATTCTCGCGGAGGAGCACAATGTTCACGTGCTGAGTTTGATTTCGGACGAAGTTGCGCCTATGCGGTCGCGGAGATTCCTTTGGTCTCCCGGGCGCTCTCCATCGGCCGCGCTGTCCGCACGCACCTTCCCGAGGTGGCCGAAAGGGGGCGCCGCTGGCCCAAGTTTGGACAAAGAAGTTTTCTGCGGCCCCAGCACTGTTGCCCGACTAACCGTGGGGAGCAGAGGGATCCCCCGCGCGAGAAGACTCTCCTACAACCGGAACCAGGGGCCGTTGTCTGTTTGCCTTGGGAGTTGGATGGTTGTCCCGTGCAGGTCGCGTCAGGAACAGCAAACCTGGGCCTCCTCTTCCTGCTTCAAGAGCGCAGCTTTGGGGGAAGCTAGCATCCCTCCTCGCCCCTGACTCCCACACCTTTTTCTACCCAGGGAGCGCCAGGTTGTCCCTTGCTTACCTGGAGCACACAAATAATATTAACAAGGAGCCCTTCACAAAAAAGACCAAGACAAGGCGTGTGGAGGTCCCTGCTCCGTGTCCCCCCCCCCCCGCTCCTCCTGGGGTGCAGCGGCTGGACCCGGTGACTGCGGGACACTTGGTGGCCCCCTGTTTCTCTTCTCTGTCACCTTCCCGTAGGTTCATGGTGTCTGCTCTGCCCACCAAGGACAGGGGCTTTGGTTTCATTGGAAAAATAAAGGGAAACTAAGCAAATCCCTTAGAGTTACAATTGTTCTCTAAATAACCACAGAGACCTTGACTCGGGAATCAGAGCCCGGTTCTGTAGCAGGGTAGACTTCCAGGCTCTCTCTGGAGCAGGGCTACGCATAGGGCCGGCTTGATCCGTAGCGACTGGAACTCGTTCATCCAACCCTATCATCCGGCCTGGGGACAGGGGATGCTCGAAAGTAATATATTTTTTGGGAAGAAAGGCTAAAAATAAGTCCTCGCCCTTGATTCTCTCTTCCTCTTAATTAACAGTCTTGCGTTTGAGCCCCGGCACTCGTTTCCAGAGCGACTCCTAGGGGGCGCCAGAGCGCCAGGCGTCCGCAGTTGCTGAGGGCCATGAAAAAACCAAGTTACTCTGCAGTGTTCAAAGGATACATTTCTATAACAATGTATTGTATAGACTGTCACCACCTTCCTCATGACATCCTGCAGCAGCAAAGAAATCCGCGACAGTGACGTGAGGAGGATTGTGTTTTTGTACTTAGCTTTTTTTATTTCATAAAACTGTAGAGGCCCTGTCCACCCCCAGCCCACACACTTGTTGGAGGAGGGATTTGGCGAGGTGAAACCTTTCAATTAGCCTGGTGTCTGTGGTTATGAACATAGACCAGGATGTTTAGTGGGGAGATGTTTGTCCCTCTGTTGGACCTATTTGCATGCAGTTTCTAGTAATTGTACAGAACCATCATGGTTCTGCTCGGGAGCCTGGACAGGGCTCTTTGCACTTCCAGCAGTGCTGACCTGAGTGTCACTGTGACCCCCGGGACCGACCTGATTGTCTTCCTCAGATGACGCTGACTTCTTCACTCTCCATGCTGGCTTCCGGTCTTCTGCTCAGGCCTTGCTGGGACAGCAGCCCTGGTTTTCAGTCCTGAGGCCCTGCTGGGGGCAGGCGCGATCTCCCCGCGTACGCAGAGGTGTGGCTGTGCCAGGTGTACTGACCACCAGACTTGGTCACAATGGTCCAAACTCCTAGATGGAAGCGATGTTGGAAACCCTTCTCAGGACGGCCACACAGCCTAAGCTGGAGGCTTTCCCCAGGGGGCAGGAATCTGACTTCCTCTTTCTTATGGTTTCTATCTGTAGCCCGGAGGGGGTTGCATCATCACCAGGTCTGCCCAACGATGAATGATGAATATGTGGCTGAGTGTGCTGTTGGGAGGCGGGCCTGGTCGGAAGGACAGAGCTCTGCGACCAGGTCTGGAAGGTTCTCTCTCCCTTCCTGGGTATTTTGTCTCGGTGATGAGAAAATGACTAAGACACCCTCTCTCTGAACACTTGCAGGTGAATCTCCCAGCTCAGAGATACTTTGGGGACCACCAACTGCTATCATCAAACGTTGGTCAGGAGCCATAATGGGCCACCAGTGAGGGGGAGGAGGCAGGCAGAAGGAGTGGTGCCTGGCATCTGTGGGGGCAGCTCTGCACTAGACTGATGGAGACACGCATGTAGGCCCTGGGGAGTAGACTTTGGAGGCCCTGAAGAGAAGACAAGGTGACAGGTGCACTGCACTGGCAAGGGTGCCACTGGTGACAATGGAAATCCTCAGGGCTGGTGCTGTTAGTAGTGGGCACACTTTGGAGGCTGGCAGGCTTCCAGAGGAAGGACGTGGCTGTGTTCTCAATGGAGGCCTGGCTTTCCTGGGATCCCACTCCTGCAGGAGGCGCCTGCACAGGCCACCGATGCCCTGTTTATGGCCTATCTCCCCAGCCGTGCTGCCTCCGCTGGGCCCCCGTCCATGCCCAGTAATTCACACGATGAGAGCTGCTTCTCCTCTCCCGGGCTGTGCGCACAGGCAGCTCTTGCCTCTGACTCACCCCCAACTCTTTGCTGAGCTTACAACCTGAGGCACAAAGAAGGGGACCTGGGGCAAAGCCCACCTGCTGCTGTTGTCTGCATGCTCAGATCCCCTCTGACTGCCCCTCTGCACTTTTTTATTTTTTTATTGTTTAAAAGAGAATTAAAAAAAAAAGCCATTAGAAACGATACAGAATTTCACTAAATAAGACGATGAGAATTCCACAGTGGTTGCAACACTGCATACTATTTTCTTCAAGTTAGTTGTTCAGATTACCAAATAAAAATATGCAAAACTGGTCAAAAAATTAAAAAGAAGAGAAAAAATTAAGCACTAACTGTTCCTTCCTGCGCTCTTGGACACAGTGTTGCCAGGCACGAGAAGACCACATTTATTTTGCACTCACTCGGGACCCCAGAGCGAGTCTTAGGTTAGAGCTTTGCTTCTCAAATGCACTCCGGCACGCAGCCTCCCTCCCCCTAACCCTCCACCCCTCAGGTTCAGGGCCCGTGTGTACAGTTGGCACTCCCTGTGGGTACTCCCTGTTGGCATGCACCTCACAAATTTTCATTTGTGTCCAATTCAAATTCTTTCCAGGCGGATGTGGTGGCACATATCGGTCATCCAGCACTCTGAGAGGCTGAGGCAGAAAGCCTGCAAGTTAGAGCCCAGCTTAGGCGATTTAGCAAGACTCTGCCTCCAAGTCAAAAAATGAAAAGAAAAAAATGCCAGCATGTAGCTCAGTGTGAACCTCTGAGCTCATTCGCCAGTACTTACAAAATTATTATTTAATTTTCCTTGAGGCTTCCTAGTTGACTCATGCATTATTTGGAAGTAGGATTCTTTTCTTCCCCTGTGTTTAAGTCTTTTCTTTTTATCTCCTTGTACTGAATTCTGGATTCCATTGCATTATGATTAGAGAATGTAACTTGATTTTTAAAATCAATCTAGGCTTGCTATTGTGACTGCTGCATGCATACTGGAAAAGAAAATATTTTCTATTAGACCCAGAGCCCAGGCCCGGCAGGTGAGTGAAACCACCCGGGGCTAGCCGGATCCTGAATCTACCCAGAGTCTAGGCCCAGTGTGTGAGTGAAACTGCCTGAGGTCAAATGGGATCCTCATTCGACCCAGAGCGCAGGCCCGGGTGTAGAACCCTTCAGCAGAACTCCCTGCAAAGAGGCTAGAGGCAAGACCCACCCAGCTGATGCAGGAGCAGAGCATCTTGCCAGAGTGGCACAGAGGGTTCACCTCCAAGTAGAAAGATGAGGAGCACAGCAGCCAGACCCAAGCCACACCCACCTGGAGGAGTCTGAATTTCGTAGATCTGAACCTGGTGCTAAGGTAATAACTCTATCTAAGCTCTACACCAAAGGTCAGAAGACAGTGGTATACAAAATGACAAAGAGAAGGAACAAAATGCAGTCTCAGGCCCCGAGTCCACCCAGTACAAATGCAGAAGACACTAGCATAGAGGAAACTGGAAATCACACATTGGATACCTCTGAAATAATAGTATTGGAAGTAAAGAAACAACTGCACAAAGGTATAGA